CCCGAGAGGAGAGTGGAGGAGAAGGGATTGTGGTGCAGCCATCCCCCCTGGGGGGGTGACTTCTTGCTTTCTATCTCTCTGTCTCTTTCTGGTGAATGCACGCACCCTATAGCAAAAACCTCTCTCTCAAAATAAAAGGGGGGGGGGACACTGGCCAACTTCACATCCACCTGACAGGACTGCATGAGACCTCACCTGCTGCTGCTGCCGTTGTTGGCTGGCTTTCTGCTTGGCCCTCCGCTCTAGGAATTGTTTGGCAAATTCTTTGGCTTCCAGCGTGTCCCCCAAACAGGAACGGATATAATCATGGACATCATAGGGGGATTCCACCTCCTTGAGGATCGCTACAGCCATGGGCACTGAGGGGCAGGTGAGGCTATCAGGGTCCACCTGGACCAGGCCAGAAGCCCCTGGCCCCTTCCAGCCTCTGGCCTCCCAGGATCTGCCCCATACCATCCAGGCTGCCTGTGGTGCTCAGCGTGTGCAGCATCTGCTCACACCACTGGGTGAAGCCATCCTGGGGCCTGGGGATACCCTGTAGCAGCCTCAGTAGCTTCTCTTCTTCCTCAGTCTTTTTTCGAACAGGCCGACCTGATAGGTGGCTATAGGAGTCACTGAGCGGGCAGATGAGTCAGGTAAGAAATCAGCTCAGTGATCTGCATTCATCCAACCCAGGCCCACCTTGGGCCCGCCAGGCCCCTACACCCACCTGAGAGATGGGCTACTCCGACTGTTCTTCAGGCCACGGGCCAGGTTCCCGCTGCTCTTGAGGGTGTCTTCCCAGAGCCCCAGGCTGCTGCCGCCGCCCCCACTCTTGTCGGGTCCGCCCCACAGCGGCCCAGCCTCAGATACCCACTGGTTCAGGGGAGCAGCGCCCAGGCCCCCAAGCTGCTACAGATGGTAGGAAGTCAGGGTGGCCCCAGCCAGGACACCCCCAAAAGCTAGGCCAACTTTTTTAGGGAAAAGGACAAGGGATGAGGAGAGGGCCATGTGGGGAAAAAAAGAGATCCTTCAAAATCATAGAGGAACCAGGGCTCGGGCTGGACAAGCTGGGGCTCAACAAACTCCCCACCCTGTGTCTCCCTAGAAGGGAATCCCAAAGTCCCAAGGGATTCCCTCCAGCTGGGAAGGGGCCCAGCATGCTCACCACACGGTGGTTGGGGGCTTGGGCCCGGGACGACTCCCGTGGAGGTGGCTGCTTGTGCAGTTGCCGCTCGCCCTCCAGCTGCAGCTCGAGCAATGTCTTCATGGAAACGCCCTGCTTGGCCAGGCCAGCCCAGAGTGGGGGCGGGGAGCTGGGTGCAGGGGGTACAGGGACTGCAGCTGCAGCCTGCTGCTGCTGCAGCAGCTTCAGCAACAGCTCCTGCTGCCGCACCTGAACCGAGAGACATGGTGAGGGTGGACACAGCCCTGTGGCTCAAAGCGCCCATAGGCAAAGGCACAGGCACTGACCTGTTTGCGCCGAAACAGCTCCTCCTCCTCCTGCCGGCGCTTCTGCTCTTCCTGCTGCTGCTGTTGCTGGCGGCGCTTTTCCTCCCGGCGCTTCCGCTCCTCCTCCTCCCGCTTCGCCCTGAGCTCCACTTCTCTGCGCTCCTGGAACTGAGAACAGCAACTAGATCAGACAAGAGCCCTCAGGGGTGCCAGCCTGAGGATCCCAGCCAGGTCCACACTTTACACCCCGGGACTTCTGCCCAGCATGCCTCTCCACCTTATGCTGCAGTTGGAGTTGTTCTAGAATTGGACCCTGAGTCGAAGAGTTAATTGGTATGTCCCAAAGACTGGCCTCACCACCTGCAGGAGAAAATGTAGGTCTAAGAGTTCTGCCCAGTGTCTGGGCTCCTTAGCCACAAACGAGAGTGAGGAATAGCCCTGGGGCCCTCCTGACTCGGAGACTGCCAAGGAAGTGGGGAAGCCCAGCTGAAACGGGTGTGGCACCAAATCCAATTCAGGACCCAGGGAAGGAGAGCTGGCTGGCCATGCCACACACCTGACTGTGATGAGGCTGAGGTATGTACATCCCAGAGGGGGCCCGAATCCGGCACCGACAAGGACCGGCTCATCGTCGGGAGCAGATTCTGGTCTCCACCTCTGAGGAGCAAATCATCAACTCTCAAGACCCTAATCTAGTTCCAGACTGCCCATCTGCCCCCCTTACATACCCCAAGGGCTTGAGCACACACACAGTCTGCATGTGGCTGCGACAGGCACACCAGCCCACAGACCTGGGGGTTTTGAGAGCCTGGAGCTGCTGCAGAAACGCCGTGAGCTGCTGCTGCTGCGGCGGCGTCAGGTCCCCCATAGCTGCCTTTTCACGGAGCGCACACTGTGGGACTTGGCGGCTGCAGAGACACAACAGGGCAGGGGTGGTGGGCCACACAGCCAGGAGTCACCCCGATTTCTAAAATCTCTCAGGCCCTCCCTACCTGCTGACTAGCTGAAGAAACTGCTGGTGCTGCAGCTGCTGGTACAAGGCCGCCGCTGCCAGCTCCTGTTGCTTCTTCAACCGCTCCTGGTCCATGTTTCCCTGCACAGAGGGGAGTGGGGGGAAAGGCAGGGACTCTGCTTGGGTCCTGCAGCTTTGAACTGGTCCTGCCCTATCTCTCCCACTGTCCATCAGGCTTGTGCTTGCTCTCCCTGCTCCCCATAGGGGATGCCTACTCACCAGCAGTGGGGGTGGTGAGGGCCCTGGGGCAAAGGGCACACGACCCCACATCTTGATCACTTCACCCAGAGGCTGGAAGCCCTCATCACAACCCCTTTTCACGAGCAGTGACATGGAGAAATAGCCAGCCTGGAACCATTCTGCCATCTCCTGTGTTGTGAAGGGCCCTGAACCAATGGGTAAAGGACAGCAGGAGACAAAAACCACTGGGGTTAGAGGGCATGCCAGATACCCCAAACAGAAAGGATCTCCAAACAGCCTTTGCACCTTGCACAGTTACCTTGGATTTCCCCCTGCGGGTCCTTGTAGAACCACTTCCGGGCAGCTCCATGGCTAAGGGGGAGGGCAGTGGCGGCTGCAGAGTGGCGTAGGCCCTGGGTCTGCATGGCGGCGGTGAACTGCTCTTCCTCCAGGGAGCTGTCCTGCAGGGAGGCCACCAGCTTCTCTGCCTCCTGGGAGCCCAGGAAGAAAAGAAAGGCTCAACTGCCTAACCACAGCAACATCAGGATGGGGCTAAGGAAAGGGGCAAGAGGTCAAGTCACAGACAAGGCAGCACAGAATGAGGTGTGGAGACAGGCACAGCTGAACAGTGGTTTTCTCTTCACCACTAGAGGTGCTTTTTAAGTCACCTACACCCCTACCTGTTGCAGATGCTTTAAGCCTTCATCATCTTCCAGGTCTCCAGGTGGGCCAGGGGGGGAGCCCACCCCAGGACTCAGCTGGATTCCTCTCAACTCATCTCCTGAAAAGAGTAAAGAAAGGAAGGTGAATTGGCCATGGTGGGAGGGGGCGGGGGGGGCAAGACAAGAAAACAAGACAGTCCTCATCCACCCTCACTGCAGAGACTAGGGCTCTTAGCTTCCCACCAAACCCCAATAGGAGGAGTGCACTTTCCCCCGCAGCACCAGACTCCACAGAAAGGGTGGCCCCACCCTGTCCACCTTCAGCCGCTGGGAGCTCTTTCTCCACAGCTTCATCACTGTCCCCATTAGTCCCCCAGAGTGGGCCCAGGGTGGGCAGTGGGGACGGAGAGCTGGACTTCTCCTCCTGAGACGGCAGTGGGGTCAGTTCCTTCCCACCTGAAAGAGAGGGTGGACCAGAATTCAAGAGTACAGAGCCGGAAGGTCCCATGTGCATCAGCATAAACCCTCCCTCTATAACCAAAACCTGGGCCTCTGGGACAAGTCCATCTCTACTTAACTTTGGTCAACTCAACTAACATCTGAGTATGGAGGTGGTGAGGTGCATGCCTTGACTGCCATGCCCACTGACTCCTGTCCTTCTGATGCAGACAGACTGTACACTTACCACAGCATCACACAGGGCTATGTGCAGCCTTACACTTAAACAGTGCTCTACAGGTTCTGCAAGGGATGTCCAGAGGTTCTGATCATGCTTCTGATCTGAAATGCTGCCTTAATTTAAACCCAGTCCTGCTGTTTCCAGGTTCCTTCCCACACATCTCTCAGAGTGTGCTTGTTCCAAAGCAGCCTGATTCTGTGGTAGGTACCCAGACAGCATGCACCCTGGGGAGGAAACCCTTCTGGCCTGGCTCGAGGTTCTTCTGCCTTCTCCTTACCTTCCTCGTAGGCTTACCTGTCTCAGGCCCCTCCTCCTCCAACCCTTCTGAAGGCTCTTCCTCTTCTTCTTCCAAACCCTGGAAGTCAAGCTCCTGCTCCTCAGGAATGGGCTCTTTGGGACCCTTCTGTATGAAATGAGACAAAATGGGAGGGTTAGAGGGTAGAAAACAAGTGGGTGATAGGTGAGAGGACTCTAGTAGGGCAGTTCCCACCAATCTCTAATAGAAATCTTTCTCCTCGCCTTTTTACAGATACCTTGAGAGGCAAGAAGGCCCCAGAAGCATCAAAGGTGCCCATTTCTTCATCCTCGTCATCTAGGCACCATTCTGGGAGCCCATCCTTGTCATCATCAAAGCCTTCAGCCCCTCGGCTCCTCCGGAGGTGAGAGCTGCCTCCTCCACCCCGTCCCTCGTCTTCTCCACACCCTCCGCGATCCGCTCGCAAATCAAAGTCAAACTTGCGCCGCCGGTCCCCATGTTCCCGCCAGCCGGCAGAACGGGGGCCGCCATCTGGGCAGGAAAAGTTCAAGAGGAACAATCAGCATCGGAGCCAAGCCAGTCTCCCCTCTTCTGTCACTCATGGACATCCCAGGAACCACCAGCACTTCTGGAATGCCCCTACCCCAACAAGCTTTTTGCTCCCTTCTCTTGGCCTAGGGATCTCACCTTCAGAGGACTGTTCTCCACGCCACCCCCATACATTCCTACCCACAATGCCACCTAGCTCCAATCTCACCAGGGCTGGCTGAGCGCCAGCGATCGCCATCTCGCCGGGGGCCTGCCCCAAGTCTCCAGCTGCCCTCCTCCTCTTCCTCTTGCTCCTCTCGTAGAGAACGCCAGTTCTCGCTATCTGAGCGGGCATGTTCCTTCCTAGGGCCAGCACCTCCCTCCTCAAACCCTGACCGTGCTGAGGGTGGGAAAAGAGACAGTAAGCCAATGGCAGCAGGGGACCCTGGAAGACCCTCAAAAAACCTTGCTTGTCAACGAAGAGCCAGCTCCAGCCTTCCTGTTCCCGTACCTCCCCCAACAAACATTCAGTCCCTGGGGCCCCTATGGCCACACCCTCACCACGCTCCATACCTCCATCTCGCCTTGCTGACTTCTCAAACCGCCTTTCACCTCTGCAGGAGGAAAAGATGTAGAGGTAAAAGGTGTCCTCAAAACAAGTATAGCTTTCCCTCCCCACCCTGAAGATTGGCGTATACCTTGTCCATCCTGCCCTGAGAAAGGTGGAAGAAGGGGAAGAAACAGAAAAAACTAGGGAGAAATGAGTACCAAGGGAATCAGAAGGAGAAGGGCAGGGCAAGGCCCCAAGGCTTGACAAGGGCTATTTCGTCCCCTAATGACAAAAGACCTAAGCTTCCCTCTATGGGACCAGGGGACCCACACCCCTGGCGCCTCCCTTCCCTGCCTCTATGCCACCTCCTCCTAGTCCCCACCTGTCATCCCAGCTCTGGCTACGCTGGATCTCCCGAGGGTTTCGCCCAAATGCCCCATCGCCTTCTTCAATGCTTCTTTGGTAAAAGGAACTGTCACCACGACCACGGCCTAGAGAAGGACGAGACAACTGTGTGTTTGAAATCTGCTAGAACACTTCTCCAAAAGCTAGAATCCAAAGGCCCCAGCTCTGCCCACCCCCTGGACACACAATCAACTTCTACCTCGGCTCCGTGTACTGCCCCTGCCACGGGAGGTGCCAGCCAGGGGGGGGCCAGCCCCTTTCCCCATCAGCCTCAGCACAGCCACACTGTTCACTGACAGGGAGAAGTTTCTCTGAGGAGGGAGCCAGGGGCAGGTGTGAGGACCTGGCCACCCCACCCAGCACCACCACCTCCTCACCTGCCTCCCCAACTCCAGACCTTTTTTCCTCCCAGCCTTACATCCCAACTTGTGCCTCCCCTCCCAGGGCCCCGGCCCCACCTGCTCCTCCTCTGTCAGAGGCTCCAGGGCCAGGGGCTGCAGTGGCTCCTCCTGTAGCACTGCAGCAAACTCCTTGTCCTGCAGCTCTTCAGGGACCTGTAGGATGGGGCAGAAGAGCCAAGAGACCACATGCTATTGGGTCCTATGCATGGCTGAGGCCCCACAGGCCCCACCTCCATCCCCCACCCACCTTGTTCTCCTTGATATAGAGGGCCAGCATCTCCTCTCGCCCGTAGCGGTAGTCAGCCAGCTTGTACTTGGGCATGGCAGGGGAGGGAGGTGGGGAAGCCACACTACCACCACTGGAAAGGGCCCTCAGCCTAGAAAAGGTCCGGAAAGAAAGCGTGAAAAGACAAGGATCAGGGCAGCCCTGTTCTGCTTCCCCAGCTTTTCCACACCAGCCAAGCTCATGTGACTCACCACTCAGGCCCAAAGTTGAGAGTCTCTGCTGCCATAGTGGAGCTGGTTCCCAGAGTGGGAGGACTGGGCAGAGGAAGGAGGACCTGGTGTGCACACTCCAACACCTGTGGGGCACGTGAACAAGGCCTTGGAGGACAGCATGCCCAGGGTGCCTCTGTGGAGTCAGAGTGGGCCCCACACCTTCGGGGGCACAGTAAGGGCAGCAGGCTAGTGGGTGGGTCACTAGGGCTCTAAAGGACTCACCGAAGCCAGCCACACAGCCACTCACACCATGAGTTAACCAAAGACGCGCAGAGATGGGGAAAGACCTGGGGAAGGTGAGGAAGCAGGGAAGATGAAGCCTCTTCCAGACTCTTAGGAGCACCTTCCCTCAGCCCCAGACTCACCTGGAAGCCTTGCCCTTAGGGAGTAGTAAGGTGGGATCTGGGCTCTTTTTAGGCAAAGGCTGGTGCTGAAGCAAACTAGGGTCCCCAAGACACTGGATATTGGTCTGGCTTCAGTAGTGCCCAGGAGGGACCTTCACATCTAGGAAAGATCCTCAAGGAAAAGCAAGAAAGCAAGGTTTAATTTTTGGTTTTGGTAGTACTTTAAAAAAAATTTTATGATTTATTTATATTTAATCATCAAAACAGGCTTTAATTAACGGGTTAGATGGCATCCCTGCCTCCAGTCCTTATCTGTCTGGCAAAACTGGAGATTATGAGACCAGCAGATGGTGTAATGGTTACACTGCTGGACTCCCACATGGCCCACGATGGTTCAAGTCCTGGACCTGATAGCTTAAAACTCACGCTGGACACGTGTGCCCAAGATCCCGGGAGAAGGGAATGCAGCATGGCCATTCCCCCTGGGGGGTGATTTCTCATATTTTGTCTGTCTCTCCAGTGAAAACATGCACCCTATAGTAAAAAACAAACAAAAAAAACCCTCTCTCTTAAAATAAAACAAAACCCTGCAGATTAGAACTGCCTGGTGCACGAGCAGGATACTAAATGTTCAAGCTGTGGCAGAGACAAGCCTGGCATATTTCCTTTTCCTCCAAGGGAGAAGCCCCAGGGCTGGGTCCCTCAGGTCATTAGCACTCTCACCAGAGGCTAAGACAGGAAGTACGGCGTAGGATTTGGTAAAGGAGCAGACTGAACTGTAGTGCTACGGTAATGTATTGCTCAAAGGGAAGCTGGATCCTACATGGTGACCATGGTTGGAATCTCAGGCTGATCAGCCTGAAATATGCCAGGAACACACCTGTGAGATCTGATGGGCTGGAATATTGAAGGTAGGGGATCGTGGGCTGACCAGACCCTGTGGAAGGTGCTCCCCCACCCTTATGCACACACATGCATCCTAACATGAATAAACAAAAAAACCTTTTTTTTAAAAACAAAAAGGGAAGGTATTTATGGAGGATACAGACATTTAAGGCAAAGATAAAACAACTGTGCAAAAATACTACTGGAGTCACACATATCTTAGAAAGAAAAGGTCAATTATGAAGGGATTAGAAATACATTTGAGAACAAAAACTGCTTCCCTCATGAAAAAACTTAGGGTTGGTCACTTGGAGGCTTGTGCACAGGGACTCAGTCTGGAAAGAAACCAGTAAGAAAGGAGCCAAGAGGCTATGCTGAGGTCAAAGATCGGACACATGTGGAAAGCTCTAGCAGGCGAGGCTATACCGACACATCTGTGGGCTATACTACCTGGTTTGAATATGTGCCCCTCAAAACTCATGTGGTGAAATTTCACAGTGATCAATTTAAGAGGAAAAACTTAATTTGACTATGGAATTAGGAGGTGGGGGTCTCTGGAGCATGATGAAGATTGAGGTCATCAGGGTGGGGCCTTCCTGAGTGAATCCTGGTAGATCTATACAGAGAGAGAGAAACACATGGACAGACGTGTGCTCTTGCTCTCTTCACCACGTGATGTCCTGCGTCACCTGGGAGCCCTGGAGAAAGTCACCATCAGCGAGAAGGCCCTCACCAGATGCCACCCCCAGACCTTGAACCTCTGAACTATGAGTGGAATAAATACCTAAGTCAAGTATTTTTGTTATTAACACCACAATAGACTGAAACAGGCTCATTTACCAATCATGACTAATTACCCAGGCCCTTTCCCCCTGGATCGAGAACAGCCCATCAAAGAATAAAGTCAGGAGAACAATTTTTTTTGATAAAAGCTGGGAAGAAGGTGTTCTCACCATAAAGTACAAATACGGTCTAAGTTGCTGAGACTGACAGAAGAAAAGGTGGCAGCAGCAATGACCTGCTCCTCTATGATACAATGGAGGAGACTCTTGGGAGGAGGCTCATCCCTGGCGGTACCAGAGCAGAGGACACAGGGCAGGCAGCGTCCTGAAGTTGCGTGGGGGCTTCTGTCACTGGCTGGGGAGGAGGCTGGGCGGGCACGTCTCTGTGGGACCCATCAACTCCAAAACACCAAGTCTGAGAAGAAAGGAGGAAGAAGGTTTCCAACAGAGAACGGAGGGAGAGGAGTGCTCTCACAACTGGAGAAGACCAAAGACGCAGTCACAGAGTTGCAGCATCTTAGGATGAACTGTGGCTCTTAGAGATGATCTAAAGGAAGTCTAATCTGCACATTCTGGGGATGGCACATCTCCACCACACAAAGCTACAGAACAGACAAGCCTGAGAGCTGCTTCTTTCAACAAGACCAAGGAGACCTATTAGAACAGCAGAACGTGGCTACTTTTGTCTCCAATACCACCTTTTAGTTAATTTGCCAACTGCATGAACCTTGAAGACATGATGCTAAGTGAAATAAGCTCATCAGAAGAGTTCAAATAGGAGGGAACCAGCAGTTAGCGTAATGGCTATGTCGCTGGACTCCCACGTAGTCGACCGCGGTTCGTGTCCCGGACCCGGTGGCTTAAAACTCATGCCAGGCACGTGTGCGTGCGTGCCCAAGATCCCGAGAGGAGAATGGAGGAGAAGGGATTGCGGCGTGACCATTCCCCCTGGGGGGTGATTTCTCGCTTTCTGTCTCTATGTCTGTCTCTGTCTGTCTGGCGAGCGCACGCGCCCTACAGTGAAAATCTCTCCAAAAAAAAAAAAAGAAGAGTTCAAATAGGGGACCAGAGGGTGGTAGCATTAATGCAAGGCAATGTAGGGATGACCCATGTGGGAAGGTTCTGGGTCTGCATCTGCAGACATTCCTGAACACACTAGGCATGTGTGTGCCTATGATCCAGGGGTGGCTAGGGCTTGGGGTGTGGGGACTCTATTAGGAGTACCTGTCTCTCTGGTTAATGGAATAAAGAAATAAATAAATTTTAAAAAATAATAAGGGGCCAGCAGGTAGCATGGCTGGATCCCTACATGGCTAATTGTGTTTTGAGTCCTGGACCTGGCGGTTTATTTTCTCACTTTCCTTCTTTCTCTCTGTCTCTCTCTCTGGTGAATGTACATGCCCTATAGCAAATTTTAAAATAAGAAAATTAAATAATTATTTAAAAAGATAAAAATAAAATTAGGGCCAGCCAGTGGCATGGTGGCTAAGGTAGCTGTATCCCACATGCTTGTCAGCACAGTTTGAGTCCTAGACCTGGGTGACTTGAAAACCATGCCAGGCACATGTGCATCCATGCCCAAAATCTCAAAAGAAAGAATGGAGAAGTGACTGAGGCATGACCATCCAAGGGGGTTGTTCTCTCACTCTTCTTTCTCTGGCAAGTGCATGTACCCTCTGGCAATTTTTTTTTCCTAAGAGATTTTTGCTATAGGGTACATGTACTCGCCAGAGAGACAGAGACAAAGAAGCATAAAGTGTGGAATCACCCCCCCGGGGGGAGGGCATGTAAACAATACATTCTCCTCGTCTCCTCTAGAGATCTTGGGCACTCGTGCACACGTGACTGGCATGAGTTTCAAGCCACCTTATCTGGGACTTGAACTGTGGTTTGCTCTGAGTGAGTACAGGGATGCAACCATTACACCATCTGCCAGTCCCCCTCTGGCAAATTAAAAAAAAAAAAAAAAAAAGTTTAGCTTCTTTAGAAATAAATTACCAGTGGGACCAGCAAATGGTGTAATGGTTACATCACTGAACTCCCATGTATTCAACCAAGGTTCGAGCCTGGACCCAGCAGCTTAAAACTCAACGTCGAGTATGTGTGCATGAATGCCCAAGATCTTTTTTTTTTTTGGGGGGGGGGGAGGAAGGTTTTTTCTAGGGCACGTGCGCTCGCCAGAGAAAGACAGAGATAGAAAGAGAGAAATCACTCCCCTGGGGGGGATGAACACAACGCAATCCCTTCTCCCTTCTCCTCCATTCTCCTCTTGGGATCTTGGGCATGCACGCACATGTGCCTGGTGTGAGTTTAAGTCTCCAGGTCTGGGACTCAAACCGCGGTCAGCTACATGGGAGTTCAGCAACATAGCTATTGTGCTAACTGCTGGTCCCAATGTCCAAAATCTTGAGAGGAGAATGGAGAAGGGACTGTGGCATGACCATCCCAGCTGAGGGGTGATTTCTCTCTGGCAAGCACATGCCCTATAGCAAAAACCTCTCTTGAAATATAAATAAGTAAATTGCCAGCAAAAGCTCTAAATCTTTTGAGGTATATTTGTTGCCTATAAATATAACCTGGGGAGGGGGGTGTGTTTGGGGAAACTGAAATTCTGAAAGTTTTGTATTTAAGGTACAAACCAGGAGAAGAATGGCATGGTTAGTATTGTGTAATTGGGGCCATGTATTAATATCTAAAAAACAGGAATGAGAAAGGTAATTGAACACAAAAACAAAAAAACCTAACTGCCTATTTCATTTTTCCCAAGTTTGTTTGTTTGCTTATTTATTTATTTGGAGAGGTTTTTGCTACAGGGTGCATGCACTCGCCAGACAGACAGAGAGAGACAAAGAGACAGAAAGCGAGAAATCACCCCCCAAGGGGGATAGCCACACCACAATCCTTTCTCCTCCATTCTCCTCTTGGGATCTTGGGCATGCATGCACATGCGTCCGGCGTGAGTTTTAAGCCACCGGGTCCGGGACTTGAACCGCGGTCGACTACGTGGGAGTCCAGCGACATAGCCATTACACTGGCCCCTCCAAGTTTATTTCTTATATAAGAGAGACAGAGCATGTGGCGTGGCCATCCATGTGTTCTCAACAAGGTCTTGATGTTACAATCCACCTGCAATCTTTAGTCAGCCCCAGATCATTGAGCAGGCATGTGCCCAGCATACTCAGGGAGATTTCTGGACTTGAACCAGGAACCCGCCCATGTGAGATTGCCTCGCAGAGGATTGTGTTAATTATCACACCACCACTTGGCCCCCTACTGCCCACTTCTTATATAGCACTACCCAAAATGTGTTATTATTGATATTTTGCAATGTAGGTAAAATTGTTTTTTATTCTTAAAAACTGGGGCGGGGGAACCAGCAGTTAGCGTAATGGCTATGTCGCTAGACTCCCACATAGTTGACCGCAGTTCGCGTCCTGGACCCGGTGGCTTAAAACTCATCCCGGGCGCGTGTGCGTGCATGCCCAAGATCCCAAGAGGAAAAGGGATTGCGGCGTGACCATCCCCCCGGGGGGTGATTTCTCGCTTTCTGTCTCTATGTCTCTCTTTGTCTGTCTGGCGAGTTGGGGGAGGGCACGCCCCCATAAGGGAAAACCCCCAAAAAAAAAAAAAAAAAAAAAAAAAAGAAGAAGAAAACTGGGGGCGGAATAGCATAATGGTTACGTGGCTAGACTCTCATGTAGTTAACTGCGGGTCGAGTTCCGGACCTGATGGCTTAAAACTCACACCAGGTGAGTGTGCATGTGTGTCCCAAATCCCAAGAGAATAGAGAAGGGATTGCAGCATGGCCATTCCTACTGGGGAGTGATTTCTCGCTTTCTGGCTATCTCTCCAGTAAGTGCACACGTCCTATAGCAAAAATCTCTCTTAAATAAAAGGGGTGTGTGGAGGGGTGACACCTGCATATGGAATGCTGACTGAGATACTTACTGAACTCCCACATGGCCAATCACAATTAAAGTCCCTGACCTGATGGCTTGAAAAATCACACTGGGCACATGTGTATGCCCAAAATCCCAAGAGGAACCTAGCTATCCTCCTGGGGGGTGATTTCTCACTTCCCCTCTCCCACTGGGTGTACACACCCTATGGCAAAAACCAAAAAACCAAAAAATTAAAAAGACAAAAACTATACGATTTCTCTAACACAAGATACCTAGAGGAGTCAAATCCACAAAGATGTAAAGTAATGGTGGCTGCCTAGCGCTGGGAGGGGGAAGAGGGACAGAGAGCTGTTGAACAGGCCCAGAATTTCAGCCAAGGAAGAGAAAATGTTTTGGAGGCGTTGGTGGCAATGAGTGCACAACAATGTGAATGTGCTTAATACCACAGAACTCCACGCTTAAAAATGGTTAAAGTGGTAATAAATTTTATGTTATGTATATTTTATCTCTATAATAACTTTTAAAAGCTTTAGGGAAAAAGACACTTGGGAATAAACCATTGCCTACTTACGTCTTCCCCACTCCAAGAAAAACACCCCACCTTCTTTCAAACAAGTCTCAAGAGAGGCAGTTTTGAGCCTCCTCCAGTTTATTCCTTCTACAGGAGCAAAACAAGTGCTGGGGGCACAGAAGCCCTCTGCAAGGGAATGGGAAGAAGAGAAAAAGAAAAGGACTCACCCTCCCACCCTGCCAGGAGTGATGACCGCTCTCCACTGGGCCCTCCGCTTCTGGCCTTCACCTCTCTCTGCTGGTTGAAAGGAGCAAGCAGAGGAAAAATGGTTCACATTGTGTGAGGCACGAGGAGCAGGGACATCGACCAGGCCGGGGAAAGGCAGTCAGGGAGAGGGGGATAGAGGGCAAGGAAAAGCACAAGCCATCCACCCTTCTCAGGGAGAAAGCAGGAGAGAGACCAGTTAAGTCTCTGAGCTGGGCTAAAGAGGGCCCTGGTCCTGAAGCTATCTGACCTTCCTTCAGCCTAAAGGAAGCAGCAGCAGGCAGGCCACCCGCCTGGTTTCCAGCCCTCCCCAACGCTGGTGTGTGTGTGTGTGGGGGCGACTCTGATCTCCAGGGGACTTTTGGCCATGTCTGAAGAGCTTTAGGGCTGTCAGAACTGGACAGGGGAGTGCTACGTGCATCTAGTGGGTAGAGGCCGGAGATGCCACTACACACCCTATAGTGCACAGGGCAGACCCCACAATAAAGAAGTAGCTAGCCCCAAGAGTGGCTGTGTTGAGAAACCCTCTTCGGCACCACCAGCATGGGTAAAGTCTAGTTGGTGTTTATGGGGAAGAATAGAAGACAAGAGAAACCAAATCTACACTAGCTCATTCTCTCCTCTGAATAGCAAGGAAATTATTTCCTAATTACACTGTCCCATGAGAGGAACCTGAAATCCTGCCAAGAGGGAAATCCTTGAGAAAATAATAGTTAAAAAGAAAAATGGCCTTACTTATGTCTATCACAAACTCTCAAAGCCAGGCACTTGGATCCTTTTCCAAGGAAGAAAACCTAAGAGGCTGGCCCAGGACAAGGAATCACATCCTTGCTCAGGCTAGAGGTCTACTTCTCACAGGTCAATTCAGCTCGCCCCCTACCTCCCACACTCCGTCTATCTCAGCTACTCGCTCCCTCCCACACTCCATCTTCTCCTCCTCAGGCCTCAGTATCCCCTCACTCCCCCAGCATCTGAATTATTCCTGTAAAAAGGGTGCCCCCTGCTGGAGACAAGGGGAGAGGACACTACATGCTGGTCCTGGGGAACCAACTGGCCTGAGGGAACAGGAAGGGAGCCTGTTCTCTGGGGTTCAGGACTCACAAGAGAATAGGCTGTCACAGGATACACTATGTTAAGAACATTATCTCCTCACTCTATCACCCCTAAAATTAGCCCCAATCCCGAGCAATGTGTCTTGGCACAAAGTATAGCACTAATAACAGAAGCAGGGCCCCAAACTCCCCAACGTTTGGAGCAACCACACAGCCTATTAGCAGTGACTTGGCCCTTTCTAGGAGGGAACCATTCTCCCCCTGTGATAGGGTGGGGATTCGGAGGCTTAAAACAGGGCTGTAAGACCTTGTTCTTCTCAGCTGGCCAGTTACCCCAGCTCTCCTCCTGAGCCATCATGACAAACCATGACAAGTAACAATGCCAACTGGCAATTATACACTAGTTAACAGTTTTCAGAGCACTTTCACACTTGACCTCATTTGATCCCAGCTGCCCACTTGCCTAGGCCTTGGGCTTTAGCCAGGGAAAACATGGAAGAGAAGCTATAGCCACCCATACAGGGTACCCCAACGTCCTCAACACTCTATCCAAGGCTGGAGAAGGTGTGCACAGCAGCTGGGTCCCGGGTCCTCCCAAACTCTCACGCATATTTTGTGTCTGAGGCCATTTTTAATTTCTTGTTAGATCTTTTAATCCTTCACACTGCCTCTTCTCACCTTCTCTAAAGTGGATGTACTTTTTCTATCCCAAACTCCAACCACAGATACAAAAGTGAGAGCAAACTATGGTCCTTTCCTCCTCAAACTGCACTCAACCTGGTGTATCGACAGGCTGAAAAAGCTAGCCCAGAAGCCCAAGCACACAGTCCACTTGGTTCCAATCACCATGAGACCCTTGAGGCCCCTGGTCAGCAAGCAATGGCAGGAACACAAAGTCCCGATTTCCCTCAAACTCAGACCATTGGGGAGCCAAGACCCACAATATGGGAAATAAACTGGACCTGGGGAGGAGGGAGGCCAGCTTGAGGCCGCAGAAGGAACAGTAGAGTGGGAAAGAGGCAGACGCGAATCCCCTCGTGTGAACTCAACAGGGCAGCGGCTGGTCGACCATATTACAGGGAAAGGCAGGGGTGCGGGTGATATGTCAGCTGGGAGGGACAGAGAAGTTGTGCAGAGGAGAGCAGCACTGAGAAGCCAGAGGGCACTAAGACTGAGGTGGGTGGGGAAGATCTGGCCAACAAGTATTTCCGTAGCTTCTCCCAGGGCAGAGCACTAGGATGGAAGAGACCTGGGAGCTCACTGCGAATTCTAGTAATGACTGGTTAAGAGGGGAAAGAGAAGGTCTCTTTAAAGTTACTTGAAAAAAAAAGACCAAGCTGTGGCCAGGGTGCTGCTACCTTAGGGGACACAGGCCGGGAAGGACCTGGCATGGTGACAGGGAAAGCAAGCAGCCCGCCCCTGCTTAGGAAGGTGTTTAAGGCGACCGGACAAGCTGGAGGAAGACCCCAATGACCAAGCGCTAAGGTCGCCGGCTAAAGAAACGTAGGTGAAGGACCAGGCGGGGTGCTTGGGTGGAGGAGCCGGCTTCCATGTTGGCTGAAGTCGTGGAACGCTTGGACCTGAAGACCCGCAAGGCCCTGCTCATTGCGATGAGAACCCAGAGGCACGTTGGGGGGACCTCCGGAGAGCGCGGGCGCACAGCATGGACCCGGCAGCAGCGGACCGAGGGGTCGGGGCCCTCCGGCGGGCGAGCGCCCGTGCAGGATCTTGCAGGGGCCCATAGGGACGACCGTTACGAGCGCGGGGGTGGGAAGGCGGCGGGCCGGGCCGGAGGACGACGTGCCCTTCAGGGAGGGGCGCCAGGTGCGCGCGGAGCGGCCGGGGGCGGCCGCCCCCCGAGCACAGAGCCGGCCTC